AAATTTGGTATATGAAATAAGGGTCTAGTATAGCACATCCACTGAAAATATGTATTAGTTTCGATCACCACAGTTTGATCTACAGAAAGTGGAAATCGCTAAACTATTACTCCTGTTAATAACATAGTGTGTCCTGCAGGTTGTTTTGGCCGCACGACACACTATCGTGGGTCTTGATGACAGTTTAATAAAATGAAACACATTTGTACTTTAAACATTCTGATATAGTTCAACAACAATCATGATTTACAAACGTTTTATATAGTATTGTAGAAGTTTTAAACATATATTATGCATTATAACGTATTTCCAATTGAAAAATATATCATGTATAATCAATTTTTAGTGAACGATATGCGGGATGAAATAAATAAAGTAGTCAAGTTATTGAAAAATTCACCAGAAATGGTAAAGTATAAAATACTTATAATTACATACAACCGTTCGGGCACGTTTCCTTTCTTATGTTAAAGTCGCTAAGCAGTGCAGAGAATAAAGATAGTGACTATTTTACTACAGATTATCCCTTGCCCTAAATTTTAAAGAGTTTGACAAACAAATGTATACTTGGCAGTGTCAAAAATCTAATAAAATGTAGACATCGTTTAAAACCTATAATGTTATTCCATAAAGCTTAATGTCAACTGCGTGAAAATATGAGTATTATATACCCTATCTTTTTTAGGGTCCTGCGAATCGCAAAATGTTTTTCGAATCGAAATATTAGAATCAAATCGGCTGTGCATATATAAATTATAAGGTATATAGACTTAATTAAACTTTAAATCAAATAGAAAATGGTTTCTTTGTTGATGTAGTGTGTTCTACACATAATTAGTACGAGTATAAAAGTAGATTTTTCTGAGAACAAAAAATATAATGTACTTAAACATCTGGAAAAAGAATGGTACAGTATTCTTACAAGGAAATGCGTTCTACTCTATATACTGAATTAAAAGCTAAATTTTAAAGCTTACCGGAAGCGATGAATATTCGAAAATATGGAATCGGAGCCCTAGCTAACGAATCGAATCTTCTTAATCTTTCAGTAAATTTTCCAACTCATCCAGCTTAACGGCGGTGTGTTTGTTTGAGAATTGGGCTAAACATTTACAAATTCAGAGTTGTAATTTCCATCAACGCGTTTTTATTTCGAAGAAGAAAGACAACATTTTCGATTAACACACCAGGACGTTTATTTTTTTCATAAAATAGCAGTTTTCACATTTTTTTTTCCTGGCAGATGAAAAAAAAAGATGTGGTAAAACGTTAGATAAAAATCCAAAAGCACCAAAGCTTTACACAGCGTATTTTCAACATTTTTGATAGAAATAACTTTCTGTATATATAAAAAAAAAAGTCAATTTTAGATTCAAACGCAAAAGCTTAATCTTGTGAATTTTAATAAAATAGTTTTTATATTACTTACAAATCAACTTAAATTTAATGTGAATTAAGAGAAAAAATTAGTCAAAATTCAAATAAAAACACCAAAGCGTCTTTGTTCTATTTGTATATTATGCCAAGCCAAAGTCCTCTTTTTGAAAAAATAATCAAAAATAACTTATGAAAATAATTTGTAAAAATTTTGACTTTTTCAAAACATAGTGTCAATGTTTATAGTGGTAGTTTGAGTTGTTCAAAAATGTTTTACTAGAAAAGTGAAGGCACTTGAGAGTTAACCCTTTATCCCAGTTGGTGTGTGAGAGGTCAATGCAAGCCGAGAAAGTAATTAAAAATAAAAATTACCATAGAAAATATTAGCGCCCAACTAGTGGTCGCTTCACAACCTTAAGATAAGGTCTTGTTCACGAGTGATAGTTTGAATTGTTAAAAAGTTCACAACCACCTATATGTCAGTTGAAAATAAATAAACAATATTAGTCAAGTACGAGAATCTTGGTGCATCTTCCGCATAAGTTTGTAGATTCTTTTGCATAATATGCATGTGTTGTAGATAGATGTACGTTGAACAAACAAACCGTTGCTTCGGGACAAGAGCCGTGCAAATTCGTATGCCATTAAAATAGTACGTTTTGAAAACCGACTAACTCGTAAGTTGGGACCTCTTAACCCAAACCTTTTAACACAAATTAATGCTCCTCCTTTCCTACAATTTACTGTACTGGCCGTTATTTACAAATTTAAAATTACCATTTATTGGCTTAACTAATGTTTTCCTTTCATTTCATCAAACAAAATTTTTAAGCAACACAATATAATTAGACTATACATGTATTACGTGTTTACTATAGTACGTATGTTATAGTTTAAGCCTAATGCTGTTCTATCCACAATTTGTTGCAAATTGCGAACCTCCAATAACCTACTGTTAGCTCTGAAGAAGAGTAGAAACCAAAATCGTTGACTACACTAATAAATTAATGTTCTTCTGCTATCCACTCGTCCAAGGTCTTCACAGTGTGACTTGAATCAACTAGTTGAATGCTTTCAAGATTCACAATTTTTTTTCATACAAAAGTATTCTGTCCTGCTCTATTGATAGAACAAACAAGCACACATAAAATAACGTCACATATAATTTAAGCTTATTCCTTCCAATATTCTCTGTTTTCAAGATCAAGCTTTTAAAATTTATAGCAATGGCTCTCTGTAATAAAGGTTTCTATTGTTACATTTCCAACACAGAACAAAAGCTTAAAGGAGATACTATAAACTAGGGATTTATTTATCTAAATACCAACAATTAATATTCTAATTTCTTCAGTGACTAGATAATATTAAATTATTTAGATATCTACAATGGCAAGTTAAAGCAAGTTTAAAGCTTCACATTTCTTTTTTTTTCTTCTCTCACTATCAAATTAATTTAAGCAGTGAGCAAGATACAAAGTTTATTTAATTCTACTATCAATATTACTGTTTGTGTTAGTTTAAAAATGGTTAAGCTACTTTACTAAGTAAATCCACACAAAATATACTTTTAGATTTAATATAAAAAAAAAATTAAAAGTTAGATAGAAACAAGTGTGCTTTATAGTTCAGAAAAACTAACTTTAGCACTAACACAGTCACAGAGATTTGAAACATGAAGCAACATTGATTTGTAATCAAAGTTAGTGATTATATTACTACAGATTATTCCTTGCAATAGATAGTGATGTGATTAATAAAGAAATGAAGTCTTAGCACAGTCAAATATCTAATAAAACTTAAATATAGTTCAGAAAGCTACACAGAAAACATCCACAGTTTTTGTTTGAAAATAAAATACATGTACCTTCAGCTAAAATATTCACTAGATTTAAATCACTTTGGTATTTCTACGAAATTAGGTAGGTTTCTTTTTTTTTGTGGTAATAAATGA